TTAATTACTGAAAATAACAGATAAAATATAAAAATTTTTCTTAAGAAACATTTGATAACTATCTGGACATCTTAAAATGAAAATTACTTTGCATGATAGATAGGCAACATGCAAAAAAAAGAAAAAAAGACATGAGAAAAATATTGCTTTAGAAACCTTAGGACTTAATAAAAATCAGATATTTTGCATATGAAAGCATTGTAATATTTACTGATAATCTGCCAAATGTAGTTAACATTTGCTTACTAATTTAAAACTTATAGCATGAAACTATAAAACACGCAAAATGGTTATGAGGTCGGTCCCAGGGACCGAGCTCGTGCTGAAATAGTTAACAAAGTTAAAAAAAAAAATTTTTTTATGGTAGATTTTCAGTAGAAAATCTTGCCTTACTGATTTTTTGACATTCTTTGGAAGGGTTAGATGAGGATATGGGTGTGGATTTAGTGTATCTGAATTTTTGGAAAGCATTTCATAAGGTACCACATAAAAATCTTGTTAAAAACATTACTTATAGGTGTGAAGGATAACTTGTTTCATTGGACATAAAAATGGCTGGATGGAAGAAATTGGAGTTGTTATCAATGGAGTTCAACCAAATTGGATTAATGTTGCAAGTGGGATAAAGCAGTGCTCAGTGTTAGGACATTTGATATTTTTGATTTACATCAATGGCATAGATAAAGGAATGGTCAAAAAATTAATTTTGCTGGCTGTCAGGATGCTGCTGCTTTTTTATGAGGATTAGGATTATTTGGTTATTTTGGCAAATAGTGGCACATGGCTTTTATTTATAATAAATGCAAGTGGAATATCATAATTTGAATTATAATTACAATTTTGTTGGGAATAACCTTAACAGTATTGTGAAGAAAAAAGTCTTGATGTTCCAGTGGATCAATCCAAGCAATGTGGCATTGCTAGTAGTGGAGCAAATAGGATCTTAGGGTGTATCTTTAAAAATATTGAATAAAGATTTACTAAGGATATAATTTCATTATATATGTCCTGGTTAGGCTACATTTAGAGTATTGTATTCAGTTTTGGACTCCCTACCTTATAAAGGACACTGAATTGTTGGAAAGAGTTCAGAGGAAGGCTGCTAAGATGGTATTTGTAATCTCAAAGTTGTCATCTATGTAATTGTTTTCTCTTGAAAAAAGAGAAGAGTTAGAGGGGGATCTGATTGGGATGTTTAAGGTTATTAAGGGAAATTTTAATTTTTAGTTTTTTAACTGGCCTATGGAAAGAGTTGTTTTCAGATGTGGTAGATGTAGTTAATTTAAGGGGGTTTAAGAGAAGGTTTGATAAATATTTCAATCATAAGGGCTGATTTGAGTGTTTTATTTTAAAGTTTAGAGTTTAGATGTATTACAGGTCCTTTGTTGTCCCTAAATGTTATATTAAATACCAATTGTCATATGCTGTAAATATGCTTGAAAATTATATGAAATTTAGATATAATTGATGAATTTAAATTTCTGTCATCTGAGATAATCATTACACTGTGTATATATTCAAGTAATGACTTTCAAAAACAGTTCAGTATAAATTTTAATTACACAAGTAAAAACTGAATTACTTGGAATTACTATTTAGGACTAAAACTATAAAGATAAAAATATTGAGAAATGTTAAAAAAATACATGTATATTTTTTACTTTTTTATTTCAATGAAATTAATGAACCTTTCTAATTATATGAAACCAACAGTACGTGAATGCAAATATATGGTATACTGCATTGAAAAAATGTCTAAATATGGTAAGATATCTTGTGGTGAAATTATTATTTAATTTATTTAAAAAAATAGGTCAGGTTGCAGCAAATATTTGTGAAGAAAAGAGACATTTACAAGATCGTAAACAGCTTTATATTTCCATGATAGAAGTTAGCTCATCAGATTCCACACGAGTTCCTATGGGCATAAGTTCATCTTTTGGTCAAGGTCTTCATTCTGTTACTCGTAAGAATCAACCTCTTTTCACCTTCCGTCAAGTTGGGTTCATTTGTGAGCGCATGATGAAAGAGCGAGAAAGAAAGATCAAGGAGGAGTATGATCAGGTCTTGAATACAAAATTAGCAGGTATGCTTGTAATCAAAGTAATAAGTTTGAAATATATATACATTCTAATAAATAAATAAAAAATGTTAAAACAAACTATATGTTTGTTTCAAGCTCTGGTTAACAAACCTGTTACAAAATATGTTTTATTTCTGATAATATCTAATAGTTAGGTTTATACTACTGTGATTTTTTGAGTTGCAATGGTGGTAGATATGGGAGGATTTTTTTATGATGTTTGATGAATCTGGTTTCCAATTTTCTTCCAGTTTCTCTAATGAAGAATTCTGGACAGTTATTGCATGTTATTTTATAAACAACATTGCTATTGTTTGATTCTATGATATTTTTAATTTTTAGTAATCTTAATTTGATTTGAAAAAATTTATTATTTCACGAAAAAAAAAAAATTATACATTGTGTTACTATATGTGTGATGTTTGTAACACCATGCCTCTTACTTTTCTAAATTTGCGGTCAGGTGGAAGTTGTGACAGGCACTGGAATATATGGAATCCTCAACATTCTTATTAGGGGATAAACACCTGCAAGGCAGTATTCATTATCCATTTAGTCATGCCAGCTTTTTAACGATGGGATAAATTACGCATGTAAATGTAATCATTGATTTGTTAAATAAACAATAACATATCATTAAACTGATGCTTGCAAATTCTAATGTTGTATCAATAATTTTATTAAAGGTAACAAAACAAAAACATAAATTTGCTTCTGGATTGTACTATATAATGTGTAGAATAGTATAATGAAAACATACTCCATTACTGATCACTTATAAATATGATGTGTTTGTAATATTCTTCATGAGACCTAGTCTAGGGATAAACTTGTTTTTGTTGTAACTCCAGTGACCTTGGTAAAAAGGCCCCAACCCTAAAAGTTTTAAACCTCTTCTTTAAAAAATGTTCAGAGAATGTAAGTGGATGTTTATATGTTTATGTATCAGTCACACTTTCACCCCTATTATTTCCAAGAAATGTCTCATGATATACCCATCCACAACACGTATCTTTGATGAGAACTAACATGAATTCATACGAATTAAAAAAGTCCACATCATAATGACCATAATAAACTTGTATTAAAATTTATTTGGATTTTTATTCTATTATTATTATTCTTTCTTCCAACTTGTTATAATAATGCTATATTTTTATGACTTATTTTTGTTTGTGACCAAGCTCGTAAAGGATATCTTCCACTGACACTGATTTCAAACTGCAAACTGGAGGAAACTCAACTAATCAACAGCATCCACCACCAATTTCTGAGCCACACTTAATGGGATTTACCATCAAATTAATATCCTCACATGGCTGAAACAGCAAACATTTTTCGTGGTGCAACGAATCAAACTCGAGATCCTCTGACTCATGAAAGCAATGCCTTATTCACAGTGCTACCAGGTCCAATATCTCAATCAAAATAAGCATAAATCTATTAAAAATAAAAGTGTACATTGAGAAAACAGATCTATAATAACTGAATTAGGCAGTATATATAATTATATCATAATATAAAAAGAAATTTATTACTTGTTGAATACAAAGTAAGTTGTTGTTTTTTTCAACAAAATATAGAGCTATTTTCACAATATTCTGTAATATTTTGTATAAGTTTGGCAAAATAATTAGTCTTAAACAAATTCACATCTTTAAAAATCCAAAATATAATCATTAAAACTTCTTCACTAAAGTTTATTTTCACATGTAAATAAGAAATGGTGGTGTATGTAATGTTGTTACAAAGAAAATAGTCCCATTCTTTAACAACAGTTGTATCAATGTCTGTAAACTGTACAGAAAAACAGTTTGTTCAAACCAGTTCTTCATGTTAAGCTTAGAAAGTTTGGGATATTTTTTCTTCTCCCTAATGCCTTCAGTTCCTTTTTAAAAAGTTTGAAGGGTAGACTTTCCTGAAATAATGTCAACAGGATGAATCCTGTTTTGCAGTATTTCACCAATAGCGTCATGTTAGTGTAGTTTTGCCTCGAGTGATTTCAGAGTAATCAATTTCTGTACTTTCCACTTCAAAAAAGGATGAACAAATCTCTTCAAGCAAAAAGTACCTTTGTATTTGACTGTGTTTTCTTGCATAAGTTTTATTTTTTCAATAATAAGAACACTGGTCGTCCTATTTCTGAATGACAACTCAACAATATTACTAGCACTTATGGTGGAACCTGAAAACAATACAGAAATCCACTGGTAAGAAAATGGGCATTCATCAACTGCTGCACCTGATGAATCATTGTCGGCTTTATATTTTTGTTTTATGTGTTTTACTAGTCAGTGCAATTTACCTTGAATTCATTAACTAGTGCAAGCCCCTTTCTTTTATTCTAACAGCCTAAAAAGTTTTGCACTATGATGCTTTTATCGATAAACTATGAGTTTCAGTAACTGGAATTCTATGATTATTCATAGCAAACACTCCCAAATCTATATTCTCTGTTCTGGCATAGACAATTTATTAAGTGTCTAGTTCTTTCACAGATGATATTTCTGCTAAGACTTTAATTAGTTAATTGTCTTAAAATTTTAATACAGATAAAAAATAAAATCAGGTAATCACCCATACACACAGTTGAAAACTTGATATTGTACTTACAAATTCATTAATATTTTACGTATCTGATTTTATAATACTGCTTCAGCCAGTGTATGTGTATAGTATTGCTGTGTGTGTATATAAATATTTTGAAGGCATTCTTATCAAAACATTAGTTTATATATGTTATTCTCTATTAGTCTGAAACTTCTGTTTGATTCACTAATAGACACATTTCTTAAATCATAACTTACAAGTTACTGAAGGTATATTTTCATTTCCTTCTGGTTAAAAATGCTTTGGTATAGAATATAAAATTATTAAAACTTCTTTAAACAATACAAGTAATTTCAGTTGTTATGATGAAGTTATCTCATTAGGCAACAACATACAATTATTTAAGTTAGTTTTTTTACTGGAGATACAAAATTTAACCCGATACTTGCCGGGGCCATTTTGTCTTATTGTGAGGGAAAAATCATTTGTGAATTGAAAAAATGATAGAGAACTCATCTTTTATTATATTTCAGATTTTATTTTTGTAAATAGTAGCATAACATTCAATTATTTGTATAAAATTGTGTTATTTAATGAAGTTTAAAGAGGAATTTAATGAAAAAATTTTTAAAATACATTTAGACTGTAAATAAGTGCCCTCTAAGAAGAAATGTGTTTTTCAAAAATTTTTTTTAAGATATTT